TATATATATATATGTGTGTGTGTATATATATATATATATATATATATGTATGTATTTGAACTTTTTTTGGTTTCTTCTCTTTTTCTGATTATTTCTATACTTATAGGCAAAGCTATGATAACAAGTGAATATGCAACAGTATGTTCCTGGACAATATTTCCCCACGAAGAAGACTGGCTTTACAGTATATTTATTGGTAAGGATGTTTTGTTTTTTTTCTTGTTTACGCATTACCACTCTTATGTAATATTAGGTAAAAAAAATTATTGCATCAGTGTCCATATTCTGATTTAGACAACTACAGTGCATAACTTATTCCCATCATCTTTAAGATTTTCACTTGCTAATACACACTTGCTGCTCCCTGTTAGATTTATGAGTTAAATAATTCAACAAACTTTGTTAAACAGTCAAGATGTTCTTTCTTGTTAAAATTTAGAATTTCATGGTTTTTCTTATTGTCACTTCAATTGTATAAAATATTTCAATGACTTAATATGAACTTGTTATATAAACTTTAAGAAATTATATAAATATTTTTAATGAATAAGAACGTGTTAATTTGATGGGAAGTAGTTCTTGTGGAAAGAGAAAAGTAGACCTACCAGTGGCGACAGTTATCTTTCATTTTTGTAACTTTCTTTTAATAACTAATTGTTCATAATTTGTGGAGAGCCAAACTTTGTTCAGTCTCAGAGTTGTAGCTACCAGGCTCCTACTCTTATTCATTTTCAACTCCACTAACAGTTCCAAAACTGTGCTCTCTTAATAACATTATGTTAATATCTGTGGAATGATGCCAAAAGTATTCCTTGGTTTTTATAAATATGTGCTTTTATATACAAATTAAAATCACATAGGTCATGTCAGATTTTGAAAATGGGGATAAGTCACTTCTCCATCTAGGTGCTGACAAGCAGAAGTTTTTGAAAATAGGGAGACTTCACATTTCTCAACATGAAAACACCATTTAATAAAGGAAATGTTTATATAGAAGTTAGTTATTTCCTTTACATACATGTATGTATACACACACACACATGCAGTTTGAAGCATTGAATAATGATGATTGTACTTTTAATTTAAAGCCTTTATTAAAGAATTTAATAAAACAATTGTTTTCATTTTTATTTTGTTTCCAATTTTAATTAATAAAATAACCTGTCTTCTGCAAAATATAAGTCCATTATCTAAATTCACTGTTTTTTTTATTTTATTTTTACTTTCTAATTTAAATGCCGGCCATGATTTGTAGTCTTTGCAGGATTTTTTTTTGCCTGTGCACATAAACATTTCTTTTTTTCCTGCATCTTTACAAATACAACAGTTCCATAATCTCTTGATATCTTGCACATACCAACTTAACTCATTCTGATTCAAAATTTTGTGAGAACTTTATTTTTGGCTTTTCCTTCTCTAATTTTCCATCAACTTGGCCACAAATTGACTCAAATTCTTCTAAAGCTTCTATGTCTTAATCAATTTGCTAGAGACATTCTGAGAGAATGAAAAATGCTATTATAGGCTGCAATATATAACTTTGACTTGATTGCATGCTTAAAAGCAATTGTAACTGTGAATTAACGATCAAAGATAATTAAAACTGATATTGCTTTATGATGCATATTGTGTGTAGTTAGTGATTATCTCCCATGACAAACAATCCAATCAAAAATAAAGCCATATGTGGAAAAGATACATATATATATATATATATATATATCACCCTTCTGTAATCTAGTTATGTCTATCAAAACAATATAGAGCACTTTTTTTTTATTTGTTTCCACACAAACTTTCAGTAACAACTGATGCAGTTAATTGGTGTTGAAATACCCTCAGTGGGCAGAATGGATCAAGCATGCTCATTGGCTTATGTCTATATTATGGATGCTGAATTGGAAGAATAGGGATAAGTGTGTGGGATCTTGGCAATTTGAGTTGCTTATGTCAAGAATTTGGATGATACTGTCACCAACCTTTGACTCAGAGGGTGATCGACTGAGTTGAAAATAAAGCTGACTCAAATTTTGCCAAAGAGAGAAAATAAAAATCAAAACTTTGAAGACAAAGTTTAAAGGAATTTCACCCATTCGGTAACATCTAGAATTTGTAATTAATTATGATAATTTGTTCTTTAGAAATAAAAAAAAATTAATCTGGGTTCTGAAACAGATTTTGAAATGCACTGAATACGTGCTTGCTGATATATTCTGCCTGATATGTGTATTTAAGACTAACCTCAATTTCCTAAGCTGGCTGAACCTTGCGAGATATTACTGGGATTACGGCTAAATATATCATTAACAGCAAGTATCCCCATTTGATTAAGTAATACATTCTAATCTTTATAAGTAATAATGTAAGAAAAGTATAATTAGATATACTCATTGCCAGATTGCTTTTTAGTACTGCTCTGAGCAGGTAGCTTGATGTGATCAGAAGTTGATAAGAATTGAGTAATTAACAGGTTGAGGTTGTTTTTTGCATGTGTATCTTTAACTTAACAGTAATATGCAAGTAAGTTGTTTAAAATCAACAGAATATTCTTTTACAAACCATAGTTTCACATGATAATTCTAAATTGAGAAACAAACTTTGTCTCTGCTATTATAAAATGATACATGCTAATGAAAGCAGGGAGTGTGTAAAATTTTGTTCAGTTAACTCGTAAAACAGAGTGTAATATCATTGTTTCTTTATCGTTAGAAAGTCTGAAGGTCAGCAGTAGTTAAGAGCTCACGTGAGTTTGGTAAAAGCAACTGTGAAGCTACTTTTGAAATAAGAAAATTTGACTTTTCTGCTTCCCCTCAATGTGCATATTTGCTTTTTGTGTTACTTATCAAAGAGCTAGGCCTACATTTACATTGTACTGAAAATACATGCTCTGTACTGTTCACATTTGTTCAGCCTATTGTGAAAGTAAATTAAGTACAACACATATGTTACAACTTTTGATGAGATTTGTCTTCCTTGATTAAACCTTTAACAAGCAATGGTTATTGTAAAACAAAAATAAATTGACTTAGTCATATCAATGTACGTTTATAATGATAGGATATAAAAAAAAAGAATTCAAAAACATATACATTTTATACAGACCTTTTACTAACCTTATCAGTGTGCATTACTTTTAGCTCAAAGTATGAGTCACTTCGGTTAGAATAGTGTGTAAAAATAAATAGTTTGGTGTAATGTAATACCATTGAAAGAAATGTTTAAAGCAGTTCTTATTATTTCTACAAAGCATCTGAATGTATTTCTAATGTTATTTATCCCCTAAAAACAATCGGAGCACAGATAGCCAATTGTGTAGCTTTGTGCTTAACTTCAAACAAAAAACAATCAGTTTTGATGGCATGACACCACCAATGAAATCCCAAAATGTAGTTCTAATACTTCACTACCACTTTATATCACTTGTGATGTGACTTGCTGATTTAGATTTTCAAAATATCTTAATATAACATAACCCTATGTATTTTGCAGATGCATATGTTAGTGCATAACTGTTTTGATTTTACATTAATGTGGAAATAGCCACTTTTATGTTTAACTATAACAGTTACAGAGAGTGTAAAATAACATTATTTTAATTAACTCTTTCAGTAGTGTGATGACATTTGCCTGAAGAAGAGTTCTATCAGTTAGACCTTGAAACTTGGAAATCAAAATAATGAAATATCTTTCAATCTTCCTTATAAAAGAAAGTTCTCAAACCTTTATTTTTTGAAAGGAGACTGCTGTAGTATTCTAACATCAGGATTCAATTACCAGTCTATAACTAGACAATAAGCAAGTACTCCTATCAACTAATCTAAATGGCTAGCCTCACTGTTATGAAATCATTTAACTGCCATGCGTGGTCCATCTAACTAACAGGGTCATCTCAAAGTTATGGAAAATTTAATTGGATACCAGCTTTTCCCAAGACCTTCCAAGAAAGTGACCAAAATTACCAAGTGAACTAAATGATAAACCCATGGCCTTTTCACTTTTTGATCACTTTAACCACCTAATTACCACACTATTGAGCATAATGAAATGTTAATTTGTCAAACTTCCATAAGCTGAGAATATCGTTTAATTCATACGTGTATATTCACAAACTTTGAATAAACGTAAAGCACAAGAAATACTTATCATTGGGTTAATCATTGAATATTTTGATAAAGTCATCTTTTTCATATGATTTAGTTCCAGTTTTTTACAGATGGTTTGCATTTCTTTAAGTAATTTATTTTTGAAATTATCGGCCAAAATATGCCTGTTGATAAAGGACAGATGCATTTGCTTTTATCTTAATGCTTTAATAATGACTTGTAGAACATTTTATAGAAATTTCAGCACTTTTAATTCGTAGTTTATAACAAGTAATCTATTATCTGGTAGAATAACTTCTGTACATGTATTTCATTGTTATCTGGTAGAATAACTTCTGTACATGTATTTCATTGGTATCTGGTAGAATAACATCTGTACATGTATTTCATTGTTATCTGGTAGAATAACTTCTGTACATGTATTTCATTGGTATCTGGTAGAATAACATCTGTACATGTATTTCATTGGTATCTGGTAGAATAACATCTGTACATATATTTCATTGTTATCTGGTAGAATAACTTCTGTACATGTATTTCATTGTTATCTGGTAGAATAACTTCTGTACATGTATTTCATTGTTATCTGGTAGAATAACTTCTGTACATGTATTTCATTGTTATCTGGTAGAATAATTTCCATACATGTATTTCATTGCATAACAGTAAATAATGAGTTTGTTGTTTTATTCAAAATAGCGAAGAATCCGGTATCTATCAAGTGCCCTGTGGCTGGGAAGTTTAAATTTGAACAGAAGGGGGATATAGAGTTTGAGACTCGCATTCGAGGTGGTGTTACACAAATTCCCAGACCAAACGTATACTGCCGAGAAAATATATCTGATTTCTCAGTTTGTGACCCTGATCAACGAATTATCACAATTGATGCCGATTACTGTATTTCCGTGGATTACTTTGGCCGACCAGTAGACATTTACAGTAAGTTTTGTATTTGGGAACTGCTTGCATTTAACAAGTACATGTAATTGTGTCAATGAACTTTTTGTAGTAAGTTTAACTTTGTTGTTAGGAGTACAACAGCTAATTTGATCTGTCAAAGTACTGGCACTGCTCGCTTCTTTTCTTGTGTACCTGGAATTAAGTGGATTCACACTGGAAACTGGAAGTTAATTTTATGATTTTTTTTTAAAAACTTGTCTATAAATTAATCAATAAAACCATCACCACTGTTTTTTGTTGGGTTTTTTTCTGTGTAGACACTGAAGTACCGAATCTTGACAAACTGTAAAAAATGTGAGTGAAATTAGTTTCAGTTTAGGTATGACGTGGTTTACAAGTTGATACAAATAACATGTTTTATCGTGTTTGTTTTAGTGTAATGTGCTAGTAGCAGCTGTGAGACATTTTCTCCTGTTGGCCATGAATGATAAGAGTAAACATTTTATAATATTAACAATGAAGAACAAGGTTTATAAACAATTAATCAAATTTCTTGTTAACTTGTATGTGTATTCAGTTGTTAAGATTAACAAGCATAAAGAAATTCGATCATTTTATGATAATCAACACATAATTTAAATATTTTTTGTAATGACCAAAGATACTGCAAAATGAATGTTAAAAAGGAATAAGTAAGTATAATAATAAGGGTGTATATCACAGTAAAGCCTTCATAAAGCATATTTGGAAAGTATCATACGACGCTGCCAATTGACAGGAAATATCATTAAAAATACATTAAACATAAGAAACAAATATCATACCAAATAATATTATGCTGTAAAGGTTAGCAATAATATTGTTTATATATTTCTGTATTATATTCATAGTCAAACATTAGTATGAAATACTATGCTCCAGATGTTTTATTTAGTCTGGTTTCTAGGCAGCACACACATATTTATATAGCTGTCAAACAATTGATATTTTACAGCTCTTAATCATAAAACAGGATCCACTGAATAAATGAACTGATATAAAAATTTATTTTTCCTTACATCAGTAGTAGAAATGAGACAAAAAACTAACAATTAGAACTATTTGGTGAGAGTTTCAAAATTATAAGAGCATGTCACTTTCATGAAGTTATGATCATTACATTTTTAACATGTTCTTAAATATTGCCCTAAAAACTGGCTAACAAGGTGTACTGTAAAATGTCAAGGTGATTTGTTTCTACACGTTGAATATGGAGAATAAAAATTATTTGAAAGTTATGCTCACAAGTGTATAATCAGAAGCACAAAATCCTTGAAAACATAAGTCACAATCTACAGATACACAAAATTCCTGGAGGAAATTGGCCTGAATGTACAGTTTAATACATGTACTTTTCTATTTTCAAACCCCTTAATGTTAACATTCAGTTATCACTGGTTAATCTTGGGTAATCAAATTTTTAAACCTGCTAACCATTTTGCATATATATATATATATATCTAGTTTTGCCTTTTAATTATTATTCAGAATATAGAGGAGATTTGTAAATGTAACATTTTCTTTAAACAAACATATTTTTATTTTTCTCATTTGTTTTAATGTTTGTAATAGAATATTTTCGAATCCCTTAATGTTAACATTCAGTTATCACTGGTTAATCTTGGGTAATCAAATTTTTAAACCTGCTAACCATTTTGCATATATATATATATATAATTAGTTTTGCCTTTTAATTATTATTCAGAATATAGAGGAGATTTGTAAATGTAACATTTTCTTTAAACAAACATATTTTTATTTTTCTCATTTGTTTTAATGTTTGTAATAGATCGGGTGATCTTGAATACCAAAATAGATTGTTTAGTTATAATATATTTAGATTAAATCTTTTTAATGAGGAAAGCCTAATTATGTGATGAAAGGTGCTGGATTGTGTATTTATTTAGAAATGATTTTGGTAATTAGGTGAACCTGATTACCAGATGAAATGTATAGGATTCTGGAAGGAAAACCTCCAGTCTTACCTGATCACTTTTGATGAGTGGGATGCTTACAGTAGATACAGATGTTGGGTGAGTAAACCAGTAATGTTGTGTTAATTCTTTAAATGAAAGAAATAATATGCATTTTTGCTGTAATATGCCAAAATTAATTCTTCAGGTAATTTATTTTAATGGGTTTTTTCTCTTTAGTTTGAACACTTGGTTTCTGAATTTCTTATTGATCTGTTTCCACCCTCACTAGAAGAGAATAGCACTACATAAGTTTATTAAATTGATCTGTTCCACCCTCACTAGAAGAGAATAGCACTACATGAGTTTATTAAATTGGTTCTTCTAACACATTTCCTCATCAGCTAATTTGAGACAAACTGAATATTAATTTCTAGATCCTTTGGGTTTATTACATTTCTTTAGCTTATACATTTTCATTGGAGCTATAATGAGTAAATTACACACAGTTTATCAGTAAGTGAATAGCCATCCACTCCATAAAAAATGCCATTGACTAAATATACAAACATGAATGAAACAAATGATGAAAGATTACAGTTAGTATTTAGTGGATTTGTCGTTTCAAATATTTAAAGCAGAAACATCTTTATCTATTATTTACAAGATCTGAAACCTGGGCCAGTGGGAGTAAAGAAGTCATGGTTTTCGTTAATGTTGGCCCTAATATATATATATATATATATATATATATATATATAT